TGACCGGCATCGCAAACCTCACACGCCCCAAGCTGGGCTCTGTTCTCCCTCTGCAAACCCCTCCTGCCGCGGTCTCTGTCTCAGACCTTCACCTGCTCTCGTCGCACGAGCCTTGGGCCCGACCAGGGCTCTTTCTCTCAGATCCCTCGTCCAAGCCACGGCGAACCCTGCCAGTCCTCCGTCAAATACCCAGGGTTTGTAGACGCTGGTCACTTCTCACCACCACCCTCAGAATACCACGGCCTGGCCTCTCCTCTCTGGCTCCATCTGCTCTGCCCAGCGCCTCCACTGGCAACTGGCTCCCTTGGAGTCAAAGCCAAAGCCAAAGCCCCTCAGTGGCCAGTGAGGCTCACCCACGCCCTCACCAACCTCACTTTCTGCCTCCCCACATCCCTGCCTCCCCAGCCAGGCTGACCCCTTGCTATTCCTTGAACGTGCCAAGCACACACCCACCCCAGGGCCTTTGCACTTGCCGTTCCTGCTCCCAGAATCACTCTCCTAGGTAGCCACAGGGCTTGCTCCTTTGTTCTTTATGTCTGTGACCCAAAGTCACAGGGTCAGTGAGGTCTTCCCTGACCATCACACTTAAAATGGCCCTCTTCCCCCACTGGCATTCGGCCCACCTAGTGTCTTCTGACACACTACATATCGTTGTTTATTTCGTCTGTCTGCCTCTCCAGAACAGAAACCCCGTGAGGACAAGGGCTTCCCTCTGTCTGCTGCTGAATCCCCACCCTGTGCAATAGCGCCCCGCCGTGGTGGGTGTTTAATAAATGCTTGTGAGTAAACTAGTGGGCTTGACCTCTGGGCCACATGGCTCGAGGTCTCCCAGGTGATGATTCTGAGTCTCTGGGCTGTGGGTGTTGGGGGCATTGAGCCCAAGGACAGGGGCTCTGAAGAGGGGGAATGACTCCCCAAGGATGCAGGTGGTCCCAGAGGTCAGGGTCCCGTCAGACCCTGCTCTGTTCTAGAAGAGCAGTGTCCCTTACAGCTGTCCTCTCTTTCCCCGAGGAAGTGGCTCTGGGACCTGCTGCCTCCCAATCCTGCATGATTTGGCCTTCCTCATGAACCCACTCCCCCAGATCTAAAGAACCCATGAGAACCACCAAGGAGGCAGAGGATTCTACACGGCGGGCCAGGATTCTACAACCTCTGAGTTCATAGAGTGGGAAACTGAGGCCCAAGAGCAGGAGGGACCTACCCCATGAGCCATAGTGGACAACACAGGCAGGAGACTGCACTAGCTCCCCAGGAAGGGGCTGGAGCGGGAGCGGCCGGTGAGGGTCTAGCCCTGTGCCCCTGCGGCTGTGTGACCTGGGCCAAACCACACAACCTCTCTGGACCCACCTCCGCAGTGAGCAAGCCCTGCGCTCACAGGCTGCGCGTGTCCAGTAGGGCTACTGGCCCCCGCCTCTAAGCACCCCCATCGTGGAGCCGCCAGGCCTTCCTGTTTACTCGAGGCCCCTCACGCGGCTGGGAGGCGACAGCCTTGGCCTCCTTTGCTCCCCGCTTCCTTCCTCTCCCACTTCAGTGCCTCCGGCCCAGGCCCTCAGGGCCCCTGAGGCCAAGACGTGGGGGCACAGTCCAGGGGGGCATCTGAGGCCACCAACCTCAGTGGGGCTGTCCGGGAGCACTCCCTCTCTGAGACCCCAAGGTTATAGAGGCTCTGATCCTACTGACTGGTTAGAATGTTCCAGCACCTTGGAACAAGCCCCTGCCTGGAGGGCCCCTAGAGCTAAGAAGAGTGTGAGAGCAGGGACCTTCTCAGGCCCACGCTATGCCTGCCTCTCAGCCCGCCGGTGGGAAGTGAGCACACGCTGACCCCAGAGAGGCCCCTCCTCCCCGCCCCCTCCCTGGGCCCCTGCCTGTATAGGACCCCTCCAGTCCTCCCTCTGCCACCCAACCGGAACCTGCGAAATCAGAATCAACTTTTTAACAAGACCCCTCGGGACACTCACGTGCGCATTAAAGCTGGAAGCTCTGTGAATCGGACCTTCCTGTTTTTAAAACCCTATTAGATACTCTTGCCCCAGAGGCCCAACCTGAATCCTGCAACTACCTCCCGGTTTACACGGACTTCAAAGGACAGAGGAGCAAGTTAAACGACACCATGAGAAAGCCACAGATGAATCTGGAAGGAGAAATTTTCTGCAGGACAGCTGGTTCCTACACGGGCCAATGTCACAGAAGGAGGTGGAGAGTTGTCCTAGATTAAAAGAAATTTGACGTGCATCACAACCAGACGCAATGCGTGGGCCTGAATTGCATCCTGGTTTCAACAAACCGGCTATCAGGCGCATTTTAGGGACAATTGGGAACAATTGCAATAGACTAAGTATTAGCCAGGGTGGTAGCAGTGTTCATTTAGGCTATTGAAACTCTAGTTGTGAGGCCAGGTGTGGTAGCTCATGCCTGTAATCCTAGCGCTCTGGGAGGCCGAGGTGGGAGGATTGCTTGAGTTCAGGAGTTCGAAACCAGCCTGAGCAAGAGTGAGACCCCATCACTACTAAAAATATAAAAATTAGCTGGGCATGGTGGTACATGCCTGTAGTCCCAGCTACTTGGGAGGCTGAGGCAGGAGGATCCCTTGAGCCCAGGAGTTTGAGGTTGCTGTTGGCTAGACTGATGCCATGACACTCTACTCAGGGCAATGGAGTGAGACTCTGTCTCAAAAAACAAAACCAAACCCTCTGCTTGTGGTTATTTAGGAGAATGTCCTTATTCCTTAGTCATACTGGAGTCTTATTTTAGGGGCAAAGTTCCCTCATATCTGTAATTTACTTTAAAATACTTTGGCAAAAGCTAAACAATGAAGGAAGACTGTGAAAATGGTAACAATTGCTAAATGTTGCTGATGGGTATATGAGTGTTCATTATATTTTTTCCTCCAATTTTCAGTTTGAAATTTTTCATTTAAAAAAGCAAATGTAAAACAAAACTCCCCCCTCTTTCTGAGCCTCCTGTGCCCTTATGAGAAAAGCCAGATACTTAGGTCGGGATTCAAGGCCCTGCGAGCCTGGCCCCCACCCCCCGCCAGGCATGTCTCTCTCTCTCCTGCAGCCCCTCTAGCCCACAGTATCGCACCCCGAGGCCTCAGCTCTCCCCACACTCACAGGTCCCCCCACCTCTGTGGCTCTGCAGGGCTGTTCCCTCTGCCCTTCCACACCCTCTGTCTTGGAGTGAACTCCTGGGTGTCTGCAAGACTCTGCTCCAGGGCTGCGGCCCGAGTAGCTTCCCAGCACGAGGTCCCCTCTGAGCTCTGCGCACTCGGCTGCCCAGGGCTGGCCTTGGTCGAGCAGGTCTGGCGGAGTTCTGTGAACACGGCCCTCGCATGCTGCAGCCGCGTCGCGGTGGCGGGGCCCAGAACCTCTGCCTCGCCAGGGGCAGGTGCCCCGGAGATGCTCACTGAGTGCACAGACGTGCATGAAAGAAGCTCTCAAAGGAAGGTTTGTGGTGGCAAGGATGGGGGGGCGGTCACCAGAGCTTTTAAACTTTTTGCATTTTCAAATTTTCAGCAAAGAGGATGTCTGCATCTTTATATAGACAGATTATAGATTAGACAGACAGACAGATGGATGACAGATGACCGAAAGAGTATTGTTTATGTGAATAAAGTGACCGGTGAACTGGAGTTGTCAGTTTAGGTTTTCATAAACTGGGACTCACCTGAACGAATGAAGCTCTAGCGAAAAATAAAGATGCCGAGGACGACTTTATCAAGTGGCTCTCTCGCTGTGTACTGTCTGTCGTGTGTTTTCCCTCGTCTTCATGCCGAGTGCGTGTGCGTGCGTGTGTGTGGATCCAGTTTGACGAGCCAGCACCCAGGCCGCAGGTCCCGGCGTGGTCCGCGGCTCCGAGCTTGCGGCCGAGCTCCCGCACGCCCCTCCTTCGCCCCGCAGCCCCGCTCGGACCCTGCGGCCCACCCTGCGTGGCGCCCGCCTTCTCCTATCTCCCCAGAGCTACCACGTATTTATTTCATGTTCTTCTTTCAATAGACTCGCCTTTCACAACTTACAACCGTTTATTTTAAAGGAGACTTTAAATAACCAACGGAGATGGAGACAGCCCGTCATAGCGAAGGGCGCACGGCGAGCACAGTCAGTCCCAGACGCGCGTCTCCTCCAGGCAGGGGCGGCCGCCGACGGCTCTCTCGGCTTCAAGGGAGCGCAGCCAGGGCCAAACAGGTGTCAGGGACACATGAGCACCAAAGTGAGCCTTTCTCAGTGATGAGGTCACAGGAGGAAAGAGAACAGACAGGGAAGATGCTTCTCCCAGGGGATTCTGGGGCGTCTCCGAGACCCTCAGGCCCTGCGCGCTTTGGGCCAGGGCAACTGACGACCCACACCCCTTGCTCAGCGTGTTCTCACCCTAACCCTGAGGGGTGGGGTGAGGGGGACCCTGAGCCTAGTTGAGAATTGGAAATGGCTCAGAGAGGGCAGGCTGTGCCCTGGTCAGGGCCACCCGGCGCAGAACCCTCAGACCTCACCGCTGCAGGGAGGCACCCCGGCCCTGCCCTCCTGCTTCAATCACGACGCCCTTTTCAGACCCTCAGAGCTGCTCGCACCAATGAAGCCAATTTGCTGCCCGCTCCCTGCCCAGGACGCCCACACAGCCATGGCCTTGCTGCCTGCTGCAGCCCAGGCCTCGGCGGGGTTAGGCGTGGAACACACTCACAGAAAGACGAGAGGTCAGGGCCAAGGCCATGGAGCAGGGATGTGGCGGAACCCAGGCTGGGGCCCAGCTCTGCCTGGACATGAGACCCCGAGAGCAAGGACCCTGTGCTCAGCCGCTGTCAGGTCCCAGGCCCAGACGGGCCGGCTGGGCACGCCCCACCTGAGGAAGGGCCCTGCGGCTCCCACCAGAGCTGGAGCAGCTGGCTCAGGGGGGCTCGGGGGCCCTAGGATGCTTGGAAGGGTAAGGGGCTGGGGACCCCAGGCTGGGCGGGCACAAGCACATGAATCAACTCCGATTGGAAGCAAAGAAAAAGGAATAAAACTAAATGTCCTTGGAAATTCCTTTAGTGCTGGGCTGTCCATGAAAACAGGATAAAGTGGCTTCCTCTGTCTGTGCTCGGCCAGGCGGGGTGGAGGCGCTGGGCTCGGGCCAGGAGGGCCTCGACCCAGGACAGGGCTGGGGCGGGGCTCTGAGCTGGGGAAGGGGATCCAGCGTCGCTATTTCAGGGCGTCCAGGTGGGTGCAGACCTGGGAGAAGACACTGTCCACGGAGCCTTCGGCATTGACCTGCAGGGAGACGGGCCGTGAGGGCTGGGTGGGCTCTGCCGAGGCAGAGGGCCGACCTCGCCCAGGGCCAGGCCTGGCTCCCCCAGCCCAGCCTCAGTGGACAGCAGCCCTCACTGAACCAGCCGGGAAACCGAGGCCCAGAGAGGGGAGCTGGCCCAAGGCCGTACAGGCGAGGCTGAGTCAGGCGAGGACCCAGGCTTCCGGGGTCCCCTCTGGCGGGGGAGGCAGGCGCACCTTGCGCACGATGCCGCGTTTCTCATAGAAGGTGATGACGGGTTCTGTGGCCTTGTAATAGGTCTCCAGCCGCTTCTTTATGGTCTCCTCATTGTCATCCACACGCCCGCTGCTCTCGCCACGCTTCAGGAGCCGCTTGGTCATAGTCTCAGGGCCTGCGTCCACATACAGCAGCAGTGTGGGCTGTCCGATCTGTGGGTGGGGCACCACGTCATGGGGACCCCGTTCCTGCCCCCTGGGGCCGTCTCCTCTCCATCTCTCCGCTTCTGAGGCCCTACTCGAGACTCACTCAGACCTTCAGTCCCTTTCCCAGGGCAGCCTAAGGGATGTCCCTAAAATCAATCTTCCCTGCCACTCTCCTGCTCAAACCTCTCCCATGGCTCCCCAGTGCCCTCAGGAGAAAGCCCACACTCCTCACCAGACCTACAGGGCCTGCGTGGCTGGGCCCCACCGCCCCACCGTTCCATGCTCTCCTTGCTTCAGCCACAGACTCTGCTCTAGGCTCTCATCCACCTCTGCCCCATGCCAGTCCTGTGCTCGTGCTCTTCCCTCTGCTAGGAGCCTCTCCCTAGAACACAGTCTAACCCACCTTCACCTCAACACCAAGCCTGTCCTTCAGGGTCCAGCTCAATCTCGTTCCTTCGGGGCTGTCTGCCCGGATGCCCCCACCCCCCAACTCCCGACCTTGGGGACAGGCTCTTGGGGCCCCATTTATTTCTCCCTTGAGTGCGGTCCTGAGGGCAGGCAGGCAGCTGCTGTACGCCTTCCAGGCTGGATAAGGACTTGACAGAGGGCAAGGGATAAGGGAAGGGGTGAGGGGCTGCTGAGTTCTGGGGGACTCTGAGCCAGGTTGCTGTTGTTGGAATAGTGTGTCATCTGCAGGATGACTTGGAAGGACAACAAGGAATAAGGCCCTGAAGTCCCTGCCCTGCTCAGTTCAGTCACCAGTGCCCCTCCACGGTGTCCCCTGCCCAGGCTGGTCAACACACCGAGGAGACAGTAGCCTTTCCTGCAGCCTGACCACGAGTCCCCGAGAGCAGGTCCCCAGGCTTGGCATGGCCCAGCCCAGCAAGCCCAGTGAGGAAGGGCCCTGGGTCTCCCACCAGAGCTAGGGAAGGCAGCTGCTGCAGCCTCAGGATTGGGGCTGAGACCCTCAAAGCCCTGCCTCCCCCTTCCTGACTGCCTGGGCCAGTCCCCAAGGGCCTCCATGCCGCTGTCGACCCAGACCCCTCATTAAAGTCCCGCGGGTACTGCCTGTCACAGGGACTTGGCAGGAGGAAGCCTGACCTCCAGGCCGACCTCTGCCCAGGCTCTCTCTGCCCCATCCAGCTCTGTGACCTCGGGCAAGTCACCTGCCCTCGCTGGGCCTCGGTTTCCTTGCTTGCAATACCCAACCCGATACCCATCCCTTCCTCCTGGGTAGTTCAGGATTCAGGGGGACAGCGTCAGCTGCCTTCAGGGAGGGTGGCTCCTGCTTCCTGATGACCCCACATGAGCCACCCTGGTGCTCCTATCTTACAGATGACCGTGGTGGCAAAGGCTGGGCCTGGCCCCAGCAGTCTGACTGCCTCCAAGGCCACCACCTCCCCCTCATCCATCAGCTGCTGAGCTCCTCCAGGGCACAGACCCACGGTCTCCCAGGGACACGCACGGTAGGTACACCCCAGGTGGAGGTGATAAATCCACGAGTGCCAGCCAAGCCTCTGGGCTGGGAGTCCCAGGCTGAGATTCTGGCCGTGGGGCCTCAGTTTCCCGGTTAGGACAGTGGGCCTTTAGCCTGGGGAGATGGCACCGGGCATTGCCAGCCCCAGGAAAGCTCTGGCCCTTTATTTAGCCAGGCGAGCGACCCTCACCTCCAGGCGGCCCTTCCTCCTTTGGTGAAGCCCTGGTGCCCCCTGGTGTCCAGAGCCAAGAAGACCAGATGCCCGGACACCTGGAGGCCACTGCAGGGCTGGGCCATGTGCGGAGCCTGCCGCCCTCAGCAGCACCCACAGCCGCCCCAGGAGGGACGGGGACTTCCATTAACCCCATTTCTAGATGTGGCCCTGAGGGTCGCAGGTGACATTGCACAGCTGGTATGTGCTGCCTGGCATCTGACCACAGGGTCCAGAGTCCAGGGTCTGAAGGAAGCCGGCCAACCTCATGTCACAGAGGGAAACTGAAGTCTGGAGCTGGGCAAACACTTTCTTGAGGTTTTGCAGCCACTTACAGGTTAAGAAAGACAGTCTCCTGCTCCTGGATGAGGCTCAAAGCTACGGAAGCCCAAGACGGCCCCGGAGAGATGGGGGGTTGGCTGGGGTCTGGTCCTGCCCCCAGCCCACTGGGATGCACGGCCAGCCCCCACACACCCTTGCCGGCCTCTCTCCTAGGCACTTGCACCCCCATCTGCTTCCCCGTGTGGCCTCATGACACCAGAGGCAGAGGCGTACATGTGCGCGCGCCTGTGTATGCACACACACGTGCACCCTTGTGCATATGTGCACCGCATCCGTGTACATATGTGTGGGCATGTGTGCACATGCCTGTGGCCTTGTGTATGCAAACTTGTGGGCCCATGCACGTGTATGTACCTGTGTCCATGTGTTTGTGCATGATGCGTGCACAGGTACATGTGTTTACATGTATGTATGTGCTGTGCATGTGCCCGTGTCCGTGTGGGTGCTTGTGTGAGGTGCCCCCACCTTGTGCAAGGTGTTCCTGATGGGCACTGTGCTAGGAAGCTCAGAGCCATTATCCTCTGGGCCTGCTCTTTCCAGCCAGACTCCCCGTCGCTCCTGGAAGGAGACCAGATGCCCCTCCCTGACGTTCGAGGCCTCTAGCCAGGCCTGAACCCCCTCGCGCACATCACCCTGGGTCAGTGTGCCCACATACTGTGCTCTCCCCACAGCGGCCGTACCCTTCCACCCTGCCAATGCTGTTCCCTGCCCCTCCTGTGTGTTTACCGGGCGCCAAGCCCCACACTGGAAGGGAGCATCCTCTCTAATCCCCACGCTGCCTTTTACAGATCTATGACCTGTCACCCCCATTCTGCAGTTGGATAAACAGGTTCAGAGATGCAGAACAAATGGCCCCAAGGTCTCAAGATGTTGAGCTGGAACCTGAGCCCAGGTTTGTGACCTCCCCAGTTTGGGGCTTTCCCTTCTTCTAGACCTTTCCTTCTAGGCTTCCAGAAAGTCTTCCTGGTTTTCCTCCTCACCCACACCCCATGAATCAGCCTCTCTCCTTCTCCCCCACCACACCCCGAACTCTGCCCTGTATCGCAGCTCCTGCCTTACCCGCCGCTCAAACTCTTCTCCCTGCTGCACCTCCCGCGGGTAGCCGTCGATCAGGAAGCCTTTGGAAGTATCTACTTTGGCCACCATGGCGTCGCGGAGCATGTCCAACACTGTCTCCTGGGGCACAGCAGGAGGAAGGGGCCGTGAGCCTCCCCATCCCTTCTCTAGGCTGTTGCTTGTGCTGGTCCCATTGCCTGAAACGCTCCTCCCCGCTGACACAAATGTCCCAAACAGGCCTCCCGCCCCAGGAAGCCTCCGCAGAACTGTGGAGCCCTTGACTGGATGAATGATTCACGCACGCCACGCCACGGCGTTTGCCGAGCCCTCCTCCCAGCCGGTGCCGGTCTGAGCCCTGAGGACACCGCTCTGTGCAAATCAGACCTTCCCTGTCCTGGGGAAGCTCAGGGTCTGATGAGGGACCGATAATTCCACTGTTGATTCATCAATTTCCCAGCACGACACAAGGTGTACGAGCAAAGAAGGGAAGCTAATGGAATATAAAATTAGGGGGGGTCTTAGCCCTAATCTGGGGAGTCGGGGGGTCTGAAAACTGAAGAGGAAAGAACATTCCAGGCAGAAAGGAGTGTGGCCAGTTTGAAGGGACACAAAGGCCAACGTGGCCAGAGGACGGAGTACAGGGGAGAGTGGGCAGCAGGGCAGGGTCCTGCAGGGTCTTGGGAGCTTCCAGAAGGACTTTTGTGCTACAGGCAGTGGGAGCCACGGGACGGTTTGGAGCCAGGGAGGGAGGGCTGTGGTCAGCCTTGCCAGTATGCCGAGGGCTTTGCTGGCACGTGCCTGCTCAGGGTCACCGTCACCCATTCCCCTCACGCCACCAGGACTCACTCACCAGCGGTACCAGCTGCCCCTTTTCCATGATTTCCGACAGCTTCTTGCCTCTGGCCGAGCCCGAGCTGACCTCGGCCCTCAGCAGGTCCCCAGTAGAGAGGTGGGTGTAGCCGTACTTCTGCACGATCTTCTCACACTGGGTGCCCTTCCCCGAGCCAGGCCCGCCTGCAAGGGCCCACCCATTCAGAAACCCTGAGATGGGGGGCTGCCAGGGACCTCAGCAAGGGAGGGGCAGAGCCCAGGGTGCAGCCCCAGGCCTGGGCTTCCACCGGCGCCTGCAAAGACCCTTCCCACTTGCCACATCACCTGCCTGCCTGCGACTCACCCACCACAAAGATGATCTTGGTTTTCTTCAGCTTCTCTGTGGGAGAGAAAAGGGGAGCAGGGTTCAGTCACTCGCTTGGCCAATAGCCAGAGGCACCTCTGGGGTCCCAGGCCTGTGCTGCACCCCAGGCAAGGGGACAGACATGGCTCGCACTCCTATCACAGAGGCAGACAAGTCCCAGCCCAGAGTTAGCAGTGATGTGCTCTAAAGCTCGGAGGCTGGAGGGTTCGGGGAGGGGTGGGTGTTCCAGGCAGAGGGACCGGCAGAGGCTGAGGTCTGGAGGCTAAGGGGCTGGGAGGCCACTCTCATGGGGCCTCCCTGTTTGTGGCTGGGCTCCAGGGGCTGGTCACCTCTGGCCTTCAGGTCTTCCTCGCTGTGGCGGTCACTGGACGAACAGCAGCCCATGGTCCTAATCTGCTGTGGCCTTTCCCCTCCCCTCCCAGGACTGGGCCTGCCCATCGCCCGCCTCCCCGCAGTGCGAACGTCAAGCTGGCAACCACAACATATGTTGCTGTGGAGACGGTTGCCGGGGAGGAGGGCTGCGGTGGGCACGTGGAACTCTTGCCCGGACTGGGAGGTGAGCTTGTGTTCCAGCCTCCGCCTCGCTGCCGTTAGATCTGGGCAGAGGGAAACTGAGGCCTAGAGAGGGAAGGGCCTGCACAAGGGGTGTCAGAACCGGAACTGGAACCCCAGTCTCTGCCCCGGGCTTCCCAGGCCTCCCCTCTTCTCAGGCTGTAACCCACCCTGCTGTGTGACCTCAGGGAAGGAGAAACATCCGTCCCCCTCTGGTTCTCTGTCTCTGGCCCACTGAGGAGGCGGCTGGCGTCTCCCGGGGCCCTCTTGGCTCTGAGGCTGGAGGAGCTGTCACAATGACTTCTCCTTTGGGCTCCATCCCCAGGGGAAGGCACAGGCCGGGGGCAGGGGGAGGCCACAGCGCTGTGGTGGCTGATGTTCGAAGCTCGGGGTGGAAGGGTGACCACTGGCTCTAGGCAGCTGCAGCAGTCAGGCCTGCGAGCTCCTTTAAGATCTGCCTAGGCCAAGGCACGGTGCCAGGGCCTGGAAAGATGCGGCTGCCAGCAGCCTGGGTCGGCCTGTTCTGGGCTCTCTGCCTGCCCTCTGTCTCCCTCCCACCCACAGGAGCCAGGAGGGCCCAAGACCTCCTCAAGACCCCCCTGGATGACAGGGAAACTGAGTCCCAGAGAGGGACGGGAACTTGCCTCATCCTAAAAGCTTGGCACTTTGCATACTCAGGGCCTGTCCAGGGGGCAGGCCTCCCCTCCTCCGTACCCCCTCTCTAGAAAGAGGCAGGGATTCAGCTCCACAAACACCAGCGTAGGAGGGGAGCCCTGGGGCCCTCAGGAGCCTCAGGGAGGCCTTGTTGCTTCTAAAATTAATCTTGGAGCTGGCACAGCCCGTGAGAGCCCAGAGGAGGATGCTGGTGGCTCCCAGACAGGCCCACTCCGGCAGCCCTGGAGCCTCCTCCAGCCCCCCCAGAACGCCCTGCGAGTGTACCCCCTGCACGGACAGGCGCACTGAGGCCGGGCGACAAGTGGGATGGAGAGGAGCCTCGTACCTTCCATCCTGCCGAGGTCCTGGGAGCCGAGTCAGTGCTCTGCAAGACAAGGGCACAGGTTGTGGGGGCTTCTCCTCCCCACCCTGATCTGCTCCCGCCAAGCCTCACCCAGGCCCCACATGCAATCTGAGGGTAGAGGGGCCGCTGGGGCCTTGGAAGAGTCACCTCTCCTCTCTGGCTTCCATTGCCTCATCTGTCACAGGAGGGCAGTACCCCCGCCCACTCCCACCCCCCTCCGTTCTCGCTAGAGGAGCAAGGAGGGTGAGGGCAGTGAGCTGCTCCCCAGCCACTGCCAGGAAACAGGGCACGGGTCCAGCATCGCCCAGATGCCTTGACAACGCTCCCCAGGGCTGGGGAAAGCTGCCAGGAGGCAGACGGAGCTACGTGTGTCCTCATCTGGGACAAGGTTTGGATGAGGATGCTCCAAGGGACACAGAGGCCTGAGGGGAGGGATCAGCAGGAGCTACTCACGGGGACATAGCCCTTTGCAGTTTTCAAAGTGAGGTGGTCCCAGGCTCTTGCCCCCGTGCAGGTCCATCTTACAGTGGCTGCACAGGGCCGCTGACCGCCCCCCCTCACCCAGCCTCACTACCCGCCTTCCCCTCAGCATGCAAGGAGACCCCATCGCTGCTGTGTCCCCACTCTGTGCTTCCCCAGCCCCCGGTACTGCCCGCGGCGCCCTTCCCCACAGTCCTGCAGAGCTGCCCTCCATACACCTTTGGCCTCCATGTCTTCACCCCACACCAGCCCTCTCCAAGGCCACTAGTGACCATCACAGCCACTCTTGCCTGAACCTCACTCGACCCTTGATTCTGGGACCCCACCCCAGGCCCCTCCAACGCCCTCTCACTCTTGGCTTCAGTCTCCCTGTGCAGCCAGCCCAGGCCTCCCTCCCAAGCCCAGGACATCCACGCCCCAAAGACCCCATAGACCCCTCAGTTACTTAACAGCCCTGCTGAGTCCCCGGCTCCAGGCCCTGATCACTAAGCAAGAGACTGGGTCAGTATGAAAGCTCTTCTCCCACACCCCTGCACCCCCACCTCCCAACCTCCCTGCTCCTGAGCCTCTCTCCAATCCATGATCTCACCACGACGTCCTTGTCCTAAGCAAGGGGCCTGGGCCACTCTTCCCACCTGTGCATGGGGGAACTCCTGGCCACTATACCCCACCAGGCAATCTGCAGGATTTTCTCTGACAAGCATCGAATTGGATCATGTCACACACTTGCTTACAACCTTCCATGCATGACCCTCTCAGCTCCCAAGACAAAGTCTGGGCCCCTTAACATAGCTGACAGGGCCCCTCCGCCCTCTGCAGACCTCTCAGCTGCCACTGGCACTGCTTGGAGCTCCCTCACCCACCATGATGGTGCCCCCTCAGGCCTTGGCAGACGGTGTACTCAATGCCTGGATACCTTTCCCCACCTCGACATTGTGTGGGACTCAGCTCGGATGTCACCTCCTTCAGGAAGCCTTCCTGGACTCTGCCCTCCAGTCCCATGCTGGCAGGTGCCTCCTCTGACCTTCCCCTGGCATCGCACACACCACACTGTATTGGGCCTCTTCACTACACTGCGGGCCTGTGTCCTCACCAGCTGGGCCTGGCCCAGGGTTGGGAGCCCATTCCATCCCCACTGCTGTCTTGGGAGGGGACTGAGGCTCGGAGAGGACAGACTAGCTCGAGGGCCCGGCTGGGGTCAAACTTGGGTCTGGTTTTCTGCTGCTCTGGGCCTGGCACCTGGCAGGACCTTCAGCACCTTTACCGATGGCCTCTGCAGCTTGTGGGGCATGAGTTATAGCCCTTTTCCTGCTGAGTGTGCTCAAGCAGGGGTAGGAGCTGCCAAGCACCCCTTAGCAGCTGCCCGGGGGTAGAGGAGTGTCCCCAGCCGGGGACAACCACAGTGAAGCCCTGAGAAGTGGCTCGACTCTGCCCCACCCGCTCCTAGTAACCTAAGCCGCTCTGTCCTGCTGGCACCTGCCACTTCCTTGACCCAAAATAACTTGGGTTGTGAGGAGGCCTCCCAGAGGCCAGGGGTCCAGGACAGAGTTGGGTTACGGGCTAAGCAACAGGCCGTATAAGGCCCCCAGGCCAGGGCCCCAGCCACTCCTAGCATCACTGAGTGGCCTGCTAAGTGGCCTGGGGAGCCTGGGTCAAGAGGGACAATGAATTAACTCCAACTACAAGGTGAGGCCGGGGCAAGGCCCAGGTATCCCAGCTCCTGCCCAACAGCAGCCTTCCCAGCACTCGGCAACCAACTGGTGTTCAAATCCCAGCTCCACCACTCAGCTGTGTGACCTTGGGCAGCCAGAGTCCCCTCTCTGGGCCTGTCCCGCCGCTGCTGGAGAGTGCTGAGTGGGCAGCTGAGCAGTGCTGCAGGAAGGTCCCAAGTGCTGGGCTGGTCCTGGGGCTCCTGCCAGAAGGCTGGGACAGGGGCTAAGCATCCGGGGGCTTCCAGTTCCCTCAACACTCGAAGTGACGTGACAGGAGAGCCCCTCCCAGCACGTAGGCTGCCCCTGCCCTGATCCTCTGGGGCAGGGAGCCAGGCCACAGTCCCCCCTCTATGGGCCCCAGCTGGGACGTGCCAAGGGCAGGGACCTGGAGCCCTAAGGAGTGACAAAGCGGTGACTGTCTGAGAGGCTGGGAGGAGCTGCAGTGCACACACACGCACACGCATGCACAGATCCACAGAGGCACAGACAGTGAGGCACAGCCAGAGCTGGGAGAATACACACACGCATACACACAGATCATACCCACAGATACAAACACACACACACACACACACACACACACACACACAAAACCCAAGGACAGCGACACAAACACGCCCCCGGCCTCCCCCCAGGTGTCACTCCCCCCTCCCCGCTCCGACATCCACCCAGCACACACTGACCTGGGGAGGGGTGCAGGTGGGCGCTGGGGCCAGTGCGTGCCCTGCCTGTCCTCGCCGGCCGCCTGCACAGGCGACTATTTATAAGGCTGTCAGCGCGCGCGCGGCATGCCGGGAGCCAGCGCTCCCAGAGAGGGCAGGGAGGGAGGGAAGGGGGGAAACCGGGAATGGAGGGAGACCGCCTGAGCCCGAACGACGGAAGCCAAGGCAAGGCTGGCGCCCCCGCCCCGTGCACCCCCTGGTGGCTGGGCCCACACATGTGCACTACCCTCTACAGTTTGCCAAGAGTTTTCCATTCCTCTGTTACTGCCACTGTGCCCAGGGTACGCTGCAGGGTACAAGGCTAGGCTTTCTGGACGGCAGCTGGAGACACTGAGGCCCAGAGAGGAGAGGCTCTTGCACAAGATGCCACAGTGCATTGGTGGCAGAGAGAAGCCAGACCAGGGAGGGAAGGGAGGGAGGCAGGAGGCGTGGACCATGGGGCTTTGCTGGCCCCTCCTCAGAGCCTGCCCAGAGGCTCTGGGGCCAGCCCTACCTGGGACTCCTCCTCCCCTGTTGGGAGGGGCCCTTCAAGCTCCCCTGGAACTGAAACTCCCCAGGGCCACAAAGGCCACCCATATAATGTAGAAGATTATAAAAAAACTCAGCCCTGTCCCCATGGAGCTGCAAGGCAGCTCCCAGTGAGTCAGTGCTGGGATGCGGGACATTCGAATGCTGGGGGTACCCAGGAGGGGGGCGGATAATCCTGATGAAAAGAATAGCTCCCGCTAATGAGCACTCACGGTGCCCCTTAAACACGGGGGAGGAATGTGAGGCCAGCGTGTCAATTGCCTGCCTGAGCTTCCCTGTAGAAAGCCGTGTGTTTACCCAGCATTTTCCAGAGGGACTGGCACTTAACAGGAGATCCTCAATAGTGTAGCGAGTCGGAACGAGAGCCCATGATTGTCCGGCTTCAGGACTTAAGCACACGAACACCCACCAGATCGCATCACAACCTTGAAGGCAGCAGCCCCGGATGGCAGGGTGGACTGAATTTGGAATTTGTCTTATAGGCACTAGGGAGCCATGGAAGGTGTTTGAGCAAGACAGTGAGACAACCTTAGGTGGTGGTGCCTTACCAACAACAGCACCCAGATGCCAGGAGGCCTGTGTCCAGTCCCAGCTCTGCTACCTGTGGTGTCAGGCAAGTCCTTACTGCTTGGGAGCTTAGTTGGAGGTGGACGCTCCGGGGCAGAGGCTCTGCATTAGAAGCTGTTTGAGGCCCTCTCATGGGTGTGTGCACTGGCACAACCTTTGGGAAAAGCAAATTGACGGTGTAAATCGAAACTTCGGATGTGCCCTTTGACTTTTAGAAATTCATTTCAAATAAACACATGTGGGCACAAAATTCACACAGGAAGGTTTTCCAGTGCCGGTGGGGACTGACCGGGTTGGTGGCACAGCCAGGGGAGGTGAGGAGTCCGAGTGAGAAACGAAGCCCACGTTCTTCGCGGCTGGTGGTGCGAGAGGCCCCGGACACACAGCGTTGGTGAGAAATTGCCAAAAAGCCCAAATGTGCTGGTCCGATCCCACCCGCATAAAAATGACTCTAAATACACAGGGGTGTGTTGTAGTGTGTGTAAAATCTATTCCCATATATATATATATATATATTTGGCATTTTAATTCCGCAAAATTAAAATCATGTCGTTTTGCATTCAAATTGATAGCATCTTAGAACTGATGAAATGAAACAGGGCTGAGAAGGCGGCTGTGGGGTGCGTGACCACCTGGCTATAGGCGAGACTTTCAGTTCCTACGTAAGGGCTTCCCCAAGCTTTTTTTTGATCCTCCATACAACAAGCATCTATTACTTTATATAAAACAATTTTAACATGGATGAACCTTGAGGGCATTATGCTGGTTAAATAAGCCGGTCATAAACAGAAAAACAGCGTATGATTCCGTTTATTGAGGCATCTAAAGGAGGGAAACTCACAGAAACAGAAAAGTAGCATGGCGGCTGCCTGGGCTGGGGCGAGGGGAGAGGGTGAGCCGCTGGCTCATAGGGACAGAGTTTCAGATCTGCAAGACGGAAAAGTTCTGGAGATCTGTTGTACAACAGTGTGAAAATGGCTAAGCTGGTTAATTTTATGCGATGTGTTTTTTTTAACACAATTTAAAAATAAAAAGGTTTTAAATAAAAAGACAATTTTAAGTACCTGTTTTAATTATTTCATTTGTATATGAATGATGGATTTTCCACCAATGCTGGGATATTAAAGTTTCAGGGTTTTATTTCCCAGCTATAAGCTAAAGAAAGAAAAAAGGAGGAAGGAGGGGGGAGGGAAAAAGAGGCAAAGGGAAAGCAAAAAAACTGCATGGAGGAAAGATCTGGAAGATTATACCCTACATTGTTAACAGGGAATAGGGCTGGGTGATGTCTTCCTTTCTACCCTATATCATTCCTACATTTAAGTTGTTTTATGACCAAAAATCTAAAAACACAAACATATAAAAATGAAACCAATTTTTGAAAACATTTAAAAAATATTTTGGTGAAAGAAAGAATTCCAAGGCTTGAAAACAAACCAGCACCAGGGTGGAGGATTCTGGGGCCTCCTCACTCTGAAGTTCACAGCCGGATCCTCAGGTCAGCAGGCAGGGGGCCAAAGGTAGGAAACAGCTGGATCGGAAACCCAGAGAGGAGCGGCTGCCACTGGCTAGGGCTGCAGCTAGGGGAGTCGCAGGGGGAGACACCCCACCCCCAAGGAGGGTGGGCACAGGACAGGGGGAGACACCCCCCCCAAGGAGGGTGGGCACAGGACCCTTTCCACAGAGGTGGGGCCGCACGGACTTTGCAGGGGTAACTGGTAGAGGGGTGCAGGTGTGGGTGTGGCGGACCTCGAACACCAAACGAGGAGGTGGGTTTGGCCCTGGCCAGTGAATGGGGAGCCAGGGAAGGTTTCAGAGCAGAGAGCCATGCTGAGGGGGCTTCGGGGAGCTAACTCTGGCAAGTGGACCAGTCCCCACAGGGTCCCATTTGAGGGGGTGAGAGTTTGAGGAGTTGGGGTTGAGGCCCACCACAGTCCCACCTCCTGATGCTAAACTGGAACTTCCCCAGGGTCCACCCCAGCAAGACCTCCTCTTGACACCCTCCTCCAGACCTCCCTTCATGCCCACGGGTGGGCAGAGAGAAGAGCCACAGCATTCTGGGAGAAATTCCACCCGAAACCTCCTCCTGGGCCCAGATTCGCCATCATGGCCTGGGGCTGGAAGTGCACCATGTTCCAATATCCCCACAGCCACACTGGGCGTTAGACTTTGCGAGGCATCTCTGTCCCTCCAGTACCCTCCCCCAACAGCCATCATTACTGCGTCTGCTCAGCCCCTGGGCCCCCCCATCCTGCTGCAGCCCCTCTCGGTCCCACTGGGTCCCACTGGACTTCTCCAAGCAAGAAGGATGGAGGCTTTGCCCCCTCAAGCTGACACTCAAGGCCCTTTGCCATCTGGCCCCAAGCAGTTTGGTCCTCACTGCTGCCTCCCGCTGTGGCTGAGGCTGGCTGGGGCCATTCCTCCCCCCACCCAGGCGCTCCCTCATCAATGGCCTAACACAGCACAGTACATGGCCTGTGGCTGGTGATTGACTAGATGAACTGAGAGACAAATGCGAGGTGCCATTCTTGCCTCCCAGCCTCGGTGGCCCACCATCCGGCTGGCCCGGCGCCCAGGGAAAGCTCTTTTTCCTGTCCCCAGCAGCACGGGGACACTGGGAGATCCCAGCAGGCTGCCTGCCCTTGTCTCACACAGTCACCCTTTGTTAGGCCTCACTCCCAAGGGCATCTTATCTGTCTAAACAGGTTGTAATCTCGGAGTCACAGACCCCCTGCCTCCTGCCAACCTGGAGTAAACGCCTTTGTGTGAGAGGCGGGCAGCCAGGCGGAGTCCCCTGCTCACCACACCCCTGCCAGGGTCCCAGCCCCATCAGCCTCCCCGCTGCTGGGCTTAGCAGGAAATTTCAGCTCCCTGCCCATCAGGCCCCCAGGCCCTTGAGCTGAGCCAAGCCAGCCCCTGGTCCTGTGGCTGGGATGTCTCCCCCCGCACCCCTTCCACACTTCCTGCAGAACTCTTCTCTCTACTGGAACTCTTCCCCCAACTTCTGGGAATTCTTCACAGAGTCATGGGGGCCTCCCCTCCCTAGAACCTGGGTTCCCTGAGGGCAGCATCTGGTCCCATTTGGTCCATGAAGGAACTGGGGCTCTCAGAGGTGAAGTGACTCGCCCAAGGCCACATAGGTGCCCAAGGCCACACAGGTACCGTAAGGCAGGGACGGGAAAAGCCAGGTGGGCTTGGCTCCGCACCCCCACCCCCGGAGCCCTCAGGTCTCCGTGCTCCTGATGGTGCACGGTACACACAGCGCTGGACCAGCTGAGCTTCTGCCCAGGAGACACGGGACATGAGGCTGGAGCTTAAGTGTGTTTATTCCTGTACAAATCATTACAAAACCAAGTCTGGGGCAGTCGCTGCCCCCCCATCACCCCAGTGTGCAATGGCTCGCTGCTGGCCTCCCCTGCCTGGTTCTTCCCACCCCACAGCCTCCTCCCGGAAGCCCTTCCCTTCCAGGCTCCCGAAGGGCAGGGGCCAAACACACCCACTGAGGCCTAGCTTTAATAAAGTGCCCAATACACAGCCAGGGTGACAGAGCTCCCAGCTCCCCACAGCCATCCCAGGCCGGCCCGGGGGAGACCCTCGGAAGCCCTTAGCGGCTCCAGATGGGCCGCGTGAAACCCCAGTGTGGCTGGGATCCCCTTTTCTCAGCCCCAAAGTCTCCTTGAACAGGTGGGAACCTCCCTGCTGGAGGGCAGAGGAGGAGGCCTGGCCCTTTAAGAGCCAAGCTGATGGCAGCTGGGCTGATGGCTAAGAAAATAGCTGAAGGCTGTCCCATTCCCATCGGAGTCCCCCAACCCTGGGGCAGTTTTTGCAAAAATACCCTAAAGTTTTCCAGGAGGTGGGGAGGGCACCCCAAATCACCCAGGAGCTGAGCCTCCCAACAAGGTAGAGTGGGTGGGGGACCCAGTCTCAGGGAGAACAGACCCAAGGGCAGTTGGAGGGGCGGTGGGAAAGGGTCTCAGACCACCTCAGAACCTGACACAGGCAAAAGGGCACCCAGAGAGGGGAGGGGTTTGCCCAAAGTCACTCAGGGCAGAGCCAAGACCCGGACACTGGCCTCCCACCTCTGGGACTGCCCAAACCCCCACAATCTCCGCAACCCCACAAATTCTCTGGCCTGGCCTCCAGACAGCTTCCACGCCCACAGGATCTCTTTCTGATTCTGGGAATTGAGGGAGCAACACCAAGTTCCCAGTTCCTTGGGACGGGACCCCACTGTCCCGACCCAGGAGGGAGTGACTTGGGGTCCATTCCTGGGGCTCTGAACCAAGAGAGAGGACATGAGAAAGGACATGTCCTTAGCCTCAGATTGACTCAGAAGCACCCCTATACCCTGATTGACTAAGCTTAGACCCTGACAGGACAAGAAAGACACCCCTGATTAACCACATAGACTCCCAAATCCCTGACTGGCCAAGAGATAGCCCCAGGCCCTGATTGGCTGGAGGATACATCCTTGTCAAGGCCCTGATTGGCTGGGAGACACTCCAGCCGGCCTTGATTGGCCAGAAGACGGCCCACAGTTGAGTCCCTGGGCAGAGAGCCACTTCTCCTGTGTCCCTTCTGTGGTCCCACAGGCAGGTTGGCCTAGGTCCAGGAGGGGTGGGAGAAGGTGATGCCGTACAGCTGGGCCCAGGATGAGAAGACCCTCTTCTCGGTGATGAAGCGGTGGTGGTTGCCCTTGCGGCTGTGCTCATTCTGGATGTAGGTGACACACTCGTCTGGCCCCTTGGGCTCGTAGTAGTGGTAGGGCATGCGCTGCAGGCGGGGCCGCTGGCTGGGGCAGAGCAGGTGGGGTCATCATGGCAGGGTGGGCACTGGCAGGGTCCTTGCCCTGCCTGCCCCGCCCCTCCCCTGCTGTAGGACTTCGGTAAGGGAAATCCATGGCCCTCCCCAGCCCTCAGTTTTCCCCTCTGTAAAATGAGTGCAGGGTGGACTCGGTTTGTAAGCATCAGATTTTTTTTTTTTTAATGCAGTGGCACCTTTTCCTTTCCCCAAGAGGGCGGCAGTGTAGAGTAGAGGCAGGACTGTGGGCGCAAGAGCCTGGCCGCACCTCCCACTGTTTGGAGGACCTTAGGCCACTCATAAAACATCCTCCTTAGTCTTTCTCATTTCTGAAATGGGGAGAGTAACGTTTCCTATCCCTTAGGGTTGCTGTGAGGAGTAAGTGAGGTAATAAACGTAGCCACGCTTGGTACGTGGTCAGTGCTCAGTCAAGTACAGCTGTCACTTGGTGGGCTTTTCATATCATATTACTAATAATAGTCATTATTAATAAACAAACTCTGGCTGAGCTTGGGATGGAGGCCCCTGAGGGAGCTCGAGGAAGCCTCGATCTCTGCAGAGCGGTCTGAATACCATGAAGTAGAGGCCCTGTTAGACACCCCTAGGCAAAGTTTCCAGGCCCCCCACCTCCATCCTGCGGCCAGTGACAGGGCATTGTCCAGGGAGGGCACTGGCTAGGCGGCTCACCTGCAGTAGTTGGGAGGGACCATGCCATAGACGTGCACGTGGTCGCACAACTCCACCGCGATCACCATGGTAAACCAGCCTGTGCTCAACCACGAATGGGACTTTTCCCTGGGGACAGAGAGGGGTCGTGATGAGGGGGCACGCAGGCAGAGCAGAGGAGCAGGCAGGGAGGGGTGGCCAACCCATATGGAGTTTCCTGGAATTCCTTCCACCCAAGCAGCGGGGCCCTACCCCCACTTCGGTGACCCCAGTCCAGCCCTGCTCTGGAAGCATGGCCTGTGGCAGAGGGCTGTCCAGGCAGAGACAAGGGTGTGGAGGGAGTGCCTTTGAGGGCAAGAGTGAGAACGTGCTCCCAGGGAGACCGGTCACAGTCGGCAGGCTGGGAGAGAGCGTGCTAAAAGCAGCTGTGCCCCAAGGGGAGACTGATCAGAGGAGGTCGTGCTGGAGTGACTGCAGTTCAGAGCAAGCCTGGGAGCGCAGCCCAGAACCTGGAGCTGTGCTTCCACCACGGTGGCCACCAGCCACATGTAGTCCTTGAGTACTTGACATGTGGCTGAGATGTGCTATAAGTGTAAATACACACTGCATTTCTTAGTAGAATATGTCATTGATAATTTGTTATATTGATTACATTTTGAACTGAAAATATTTTGCATGTGTTTGGTACAAGGTGGTACTCTGAAAAGATTTAAAAAAAATAAACCTCTAATAAGACTGACAAAGAAAAAGAGAAGACACAAATTACCGATAACAAGAATAAAAGAGGGGAAATCACCATAAACCCTGTAAACATTCCAAGAATAATAATAAAAGTCCATAAACAACCACATACATACATTTGACAACTTACATGAAACGGGCCAATTCCTTCAAACCCACAAACTACCAAAACTCACCCAAGAGGAAACAGATAACCTGAATATCCTGTAACTATTCAAGAAATTGCATTCATAGTTTTAAACTTTCCAAAAACAACTTTCCAGGCCCAGAGCGTTTCACTGGCAAAGTCTACCAAACATTTAAAGAGAAATAATCCCAATTTTACACAGTCTCTTCCAGAAAAATAGAAGAGGGGATGTTTCCCAAGTCATTCTCTGAGGCCAGCATGACCCTGATAGCCAAACCAGGCAAAGCCAGTACCAAAAAACCCTACAGATCAATATCTCTCATGAACACAGACACGAAAATCTTGACAAAATATTAGCAAATCATATCCAGCTAGCTAGCTATCTACAAATACATCACAACCATGTGGGATTTACTCCAGAAATGTAGGGCCGATTCAATATTCGAAAACCAGTCAGTAGAATCCATCACATTAATAGTCATAAGAAAAACTGCATGATCAATTGCTACAGAAAAACATTTGATAAAACTCAATATCCAATAATGATAAAAATTCTCAGGAAACTAGTAAGAGAAGGCAAACTTCCTCAACCTGATAAAGAGTAGCTACAAAAAGCCTACAGCTAACATCATATTCAATGATGAAAGACTGAATACTTTCTCCCTAAGACTGGGACCAAGGCAAGGGTGTTCACTCTCACCACTTCCCATACAATTTAACATTGTATTGAAAATCCTAGCCAATGCGATAAAGAAAGAAAAAAAAATAAGAGGCATATAGAATGGGGAGGAAGAAATAAAAGCATCCTTATTTACATATAACATGATTATCTGCATAGAAAATCCCAAAGAATCTACAAAAATCTTCTAGAACCAATACCTAAGTTTAGCAGGGTTACAGGATACAAGGTCAACACACAAAAATCAATTTCTATATACTCTTTCTATATATTAACAATGAACAACTGGGAACCAAAAAAATTTTTTTATAGTCATGCATAATAGCTCCAAAAATTTTTATATATTTAGGTATAAATCTAACAAAATATGTACAGGAGCCATATGTTGAACACATTGGGTTAAATAAAATATATTAAAGTTAATTTCACCTGTTTCTTCTTACTTTTTTAATGTGACTACTATAAAAATTTAAATTACATATATGGCTCATATATTTCTATTGGACAGCACTGGCCTAGATGTATCCCTATCTAGGGATATACATCATTCCCACACAGCATGCTGGGAATGATGTATCCCTGGAATAGAGCACGCTGGGAGCAACTGTGTGTTTAAGCAAGACATGTTGGGAGTAGTGAAGATTTTACCTTAGGTATGCTATGGGGAGCTTCTCCCAGAAAGGTGCTAGGAGTGACTATTTAACCTCAGAGCAGAACATGTTGGGAGTCCTTGTGCCCTCAGAGCAGTGCATACTGGGAGGAAGCCCTCCTGGGGAGATGAGGCCATGCAGAGCATGTTGGAAACACTCATGTTAACAGCTGGACTTGAAGAGAACCCTCCTAGGAAGCCTCAGAGCAGTGCCGGCTGGGAGCAGCAGGCCCTCTGGGCGGAACATGCTGAGTGGGAGCACAGGGCTGGCCAGAGGGGACAGGTGGGAGTGTGGTACCTGTCCTTGCCCGTCTCACCCTGGAAGAGGTCGTCAAATTGACGCATGCGGGTGGGAGAGACGGCGTAGGCCTCCATGTTGGGGAACGCCAAGCCTGCCCGCTGGATGACACGCACAAGGCTGCCCTGGGGCTTCTGCATCTTGCTCGGGGGGCCCCAGAAGATGAACACGGTTTCAGGGGTCCGGTTGACGAACTCCTGGGGCTTCCGCAGCACACGGAATACGCTGGAATGAGCCACCACGCGGAAGGTGGTCTTGTTGCCCACATCGGCTGAGTAGCCCGTGGTGGGCGCGTCGTTCATGCGGATTGTACACTCGGCACGCTCAATCTCAGGGCCCAGCTTGGTGCCCAGCAGGTGGCTGGAGCTGCTGACAATCACACACTGGTGGCACCGGGAGGGCAGCGTCTGGGGGCAAGGAAAGTCAACATTATCGAGGCCACTTTGTGTGGAGCCCTGCGCTCCATACGTGAATTATTATGCCCATTTTAAAGACAGGGAAAGTAAAGCCCATTCATTTGCCATTCAACAACAATTTCTAGCAAGCTGGCTAATAGCCAAGTATGTAGGACAGAGCAATGAGTAGAACAGACCCAGCTCCTGCCTTCAAGGAACTCAGTCTGGGAGACAGAAAAGAATGTGATACATGGGGGCCGGGCGCAGTGGCTCACGCCTGTAATCCTAGCACTCTGGGAGGCTGAGGCGGGAGGATCGTTTGAGCTCAGGAGTTCGAGACCAGCCTGAACAAGAGCGAGACCCCGTCTCTACTAAAAAAAATAGAAAGAAATTATCTGGACAACTAAAAATATATAGAAAAAATTAGCCGGGCATGGTGGCGCATGCCTGTAGTCCCAGCTACTCGGGAGGCTGAGGCAGGAGGATCGCTTGAGCCCAGGAGTTTGAGGTTGCTGTGAGCTAGGCTGATGCCACGGCACTCACTCTAGCCAAGGCAACAGAGTGAGACTCTGTCTCAGAAAAAAAAAAAAAAAAAGAATGTGATACATGCTAGGAAAACATAAATTAGGGGCAGGTGATCATGAGCGACTGGACTGGGGGCGACTTTAGAAAGGTTGCCTGGGGAGGCCTCTCTGATCTGAGCCCTAAAGGATGAGAAAGAACCACCTGGAAAGATGTACTGAAGGCAGGAGAGATGGCAAGCACAAAGACTCTGAAGCAGGAGTAAAGGCGTCACTTGGGGCAGAATCAACAAGGCAGAGAATAGAAGGTGATACAGTGGAGAAGTGCAGTGCCAGGATTTGAACCCAGGTCTATGTGACCACAGATTCCCCCGTCCCCAAAGAGGACATTTCCCCAAATGCACCCAGGGCATTTCTACATCATCCAGAAACAAGACACCACCTTACTATTAAGGAAGGGTGTGAAAGCCCCTCTGGGCCTCTGTGTTTCTGTGGGTGAAATGAATGGGTTCGAAACACATGCTCTCTGGGTCTAATTTTTGCCCATGGAATTCCCAGTCACCCTTCAAGGCTAAGCTCAAATGCCACCTCCTACAGGCAGCCTTCCCTAGCTCTTACTCCGGGATCCACAACGTGTCCCACATACACTGCCCGACAGTCTCTCCCACTCTCCTGAGCTCTCGTTTTCTGGCTTCCCCATCAGGCCGGAAGCTCTAGGAGCCTGGCTCTGCCTCACTCCTTCCCACCTCACTCGCACACGAGCTGTCCCACTTTTCTTCCTCTTCCAAGGGTTCTTAGGGTAGAGAAAGACTCAGTTAGGTGTTAATCTGTCTCTAAACACTCACGAATGGGCCCTTTCCCAGCGAGGGTATGTCCGGAGCCCAGGGCTCTGCACTGTGTGCAAAGGCCCTAAAGAAAACATAGGAGGGTTGATGAGGAAGGAGAGGTACTACAGGGTGAACCCCAGAAATACAACTTGAATTTCATGGTTACCCAAGGAAAACCTAAGTCCCCAGGAAGGACTTTTGGCCTATGTAGCTGCAATTTAGCAGAAGTTGAGAAAATACCTTGTGCCCTTCCCCTCCTTGCTGTGTAGCTGTGGACAAGTGACCTCACCTCTCTGAGCCTTGCTTATCCCATCTCTTCAAGAGAGAGAATAATGGTGACCTCACAGGATTTGTCTGAGGATTACTGGCGACCACAGTGCTTGGGATGTGGCAGGCCCTTGATAAAGGCAGCTGTTATTACTACACGTGTTGTCATGTACTCGTGTCCTGCTCCCAAGCCTATGCAGACTCCCCAGCAGGGACAAACAGCAGTGAGAACCAGAGACACGTTTCCCAAGGGATTCTGACTCGGGAGGCAGTAGGATATTAGCCTTGGAGGCCCAGAGAGAGGGGCAGGGCACTTAACCAAGGTCATGCAGCCAGCAAGGGGACAAAGTCACAGGGGGTCAGGGCCTTGACTCCCGGGACCCACCTTTCCTTTAGGAGGGCTGGGGGTGGTGGGGAGAAGAGGTGATGGTGGGAGGAGGAGGAGGAAGAGAAGGAGGGAGGAGGGAGCAGCGATGGTGGGCAATGGGCAGGATCCGCCACCAGGTGCTTCCAGGGAGCTCCCCAAAGGGGCTGCTCTACCTTGTTGCCAAGAATGGGGACATAGCCATCAGTCATGCTCCACTTCTTGAGGTTGACAGGCCCATGCGTGCGGCCCCGCAGGGAGCCGTGATGGAAGACCTCATTGGCACTGTTGGAGCTGTAGAGGATGAGGATGGTGATGAGGGCAAAAAGGATCACGAACACTGCTGATCGCTGCTCCTGGAGAGGGAGAGGCCAGTGAGGGCCCAGCCACCCAGCAGGCTCAGCGCCCCCTGCTTTGCCACCTACCATGCCTGGCTACTGCTTGCTCTTCGTTCCAAACCAGTTGATGCACTACCTCCTCCAGGAAGGCCTCCCTCAGCCCGCTCATGTCCCCATCACAATACCGATCATGCTGCATCCAAACTGCCATCCCTCTAAGTAGACCATGAGCTTTGAGGACTGAGCCTGGGTCAGCTTCGCACCTTACTGTATCCCAGATCCCAGGGCAGGGCCTGGAACACAGAAGTTTCCTTGGGGTGGGGGAGGTCTCTGGACTGGTTTGGATGTGGGTGTCAGGATTCTCTACAGCTGCAGCTAAGAGGTTGTCTAGAAACAGGCAGGACATCTGAGAAACAGGGCCCAGCTCTTCCCCCAACAGTAACTCTCCATAAGTTACCTAAGTTGCCTCTCAGCTCCAAGTTTACCTTTTTTGTCTGTTCTGTGGAAACGGATCTGGGCCCTTCAAATATTTTCCCTCACTAGTTAGCTGGGTATTAAGCTTCGTCAGTAGAAGGTGCTGGAGAGACACTGCACTAGGAAAGGCCTTTGCTTCTCGGTTCTGGTGGACTTGCTAGGGAGGCCCCTGCAGTGCACATGGCTTCTCTAACAAGGGCATCTTCTCCACTGCCATGGCACTAGCAGCACCCAGCAGCTTCCTCAGGCAGAATGCCTCTAGCTCCCGCTGTGATCACAGCTTCTCCAAAGTCCAGCGACTGCAGAGCACTCAACCTTATGCTGCCCCCGGAGGCCAGCAGCTTCCCCACCCTGGGCCAGTTTTGTATTGAAGCCACGCAGCGGGCCATAGCCATGCTCTCTGCAGCAAGGCCTGGATCTCAGCCGTGGTGGTGGTGGTGGGGGGTGTCTGCTCTTCATATCTGCTATTGCTATGTTCCTTGGAGTTCCACTGCCTTGTTATCCCAATGCCCTGTTATAGTTGATAACTCTTTGCATAAACTTTTCCCGTTCAATTACTGTGTGGCTTCTCTCTCCTGATTAGACCCAGACCAATACAGCCAGCCCATCCCACTTCCCAACCTCAGGCTCTGCCCAGGCTGCAGTGGACCCTAGGGAAGGGGTGTTGGAGGGTCAGGCACAGAGTAGGTGAATGAATGAATGGTGGGGAATCCTGATGTCCTCAAGGTGATGCTCATGTTGAATCACCTTTGACTCTGACCACTGCCACCTCCCCTTGCCTCCTGCTCACCTTCACCTCCCCACCGCCACCCCCTGCACAGCACTCCACAGTCACCTCTGCTGGTCCTTCACCACAGACAGACCAGTCAAGCCTAGGAGAGCAGAGCTGATCCCGGGCCCAGAGACTGGCAGGAGCTTGCCTCACGCCACTCAGCAGCTCAGTAGCCAAAGCAGGGCTCAAACCTGGGCCCTCAGGCCTCTGATGCTCCTTGGCGGGAAGGAGAGAGACTCACGGTGGCGTGGGTCTGAGGCAGGTCCAAAGGAGTCCATTCCACAGAGGGAAGAGAGAGGCCCAAATGGGGACAAAAAATGAAGGAGAACTTACTTTGTTGCTACTCATCTCTCTCCGGCGTCTGCTGAGGGGTAGGGGTCGGTGTCCTGCAGGTGGCCCTGGGGGCAGGGATATGGGGTCACACCTGCAAGCCACCAGAAAAGGTTATGGCCTGGGCATCCTCCTCTGGGTTCAGCTGGTCAAATGCTACACCCTATGCCCCCCACGAGCTCTCCTACGTACCCAGAACGTTACAGTTCAGGGCCACATCCACTTTGCAAATGGAGACACTGAGGCCCAGATAGGGCAGGAATTTGGTTGAGGTAACACAGCTTGGTGGTGGCAGAGCCCTGCCCCTTTCCCTGCCCATTCTCCTCCCTGAGCAGGAGCTGGTCTACACCCAGGCAGCTGGCAGACCTAAAGCCGGCTCCCCTGTTGGTGAACCTGACCCCCACTCAGAGGGAGCTCCATTTGCACTAAACCCTGCCTTGGGTCCCTGCTCTAAACCCTGCCTTGGGTCCCTCCGGCCTCAGAATAAAGCAACACTCTTCCTAGGTCCCAAACACCTCTGTTCTTACTCCCTTCTGCTCTGCCTGGAGCACCGCCCCCCTACGGCCACCTGGCCCCCACTCATCCTGCAAGCCTGGGGTGGACCAGGAGCTTCCCTGGGTCCTCACCCACACGGCCAGGCTGAGTTGCCTGGGGGCGCAGCCCACACAGGCCCTCATTCGGTTCCCCTCTGCCGCCACAGCCACGGAACACCGCTGACGGAATCAGTTCGTTAACCAGTAAGGTCCGGGGAGTTGAGGGCACAGACTGAGTCTGAAAGGTCCGGTTCCAGCGCCCGCTCCGCAGTCTCTGCTGGGGCTCAGGGGCTCAGACTCATCGGCCAAATGGCTGTAATCACAGCCCCACCCTGGGGGCTGGGTGGGGGGCCTCTGGGTGACAATGCAGCCTTGGGCAGCCTTCCTTCCTGAGCCCGTCCCGAGGCCTGGCAGTAAGGGGACCAGCCCAGCTCTGCTCCTCACTCCTCAGCCGCCGCTCCCACCCCCACCCAGGAGCCAGCTCTCTCCAGACCTCAGTTTCCCACCTGCGAAAGGGGAGTGAGTACCGTGTCCAGCCTACCTCCAACAGAGACGGCCGGAGGGCGGTGGGGAGGGTGTGCAGAAGGAGAAAACTAGGGCTCAGGGGGCCCCTCGGGCCGGTCCCCTAGTTCAGTGCCTGTCAGCTCCGGCCACTCTCTCCGCCCCCTGACCTCGCGACTGTTTACTCCTACACTGTCACCGCGAATAGCCAGGGAACCTCAGGCCAAAGGAGGCGCCACACTCCTCGCTGCAGATTGGTCAGGTCCTGGCTCCGCCCCTCCCCAGCCCCACCCCTTCCCCGCGGGGACCTCCCCCCACCAAGCGCGGCTCAGGTTTCTCCGCGGCCAGCCCCTCACAGCCAGTCTGGGAGACCCCGGAACCTCGCCCAGTCCAGGCCCCTCGGGACAGACCAGAACACTGAGGCTCGTCAGGAGCGAGGAGCGGCTTGTCCTTGGACTCACAGACCGTCAGAGCAAAAGGCAGGAGCCCAGAATCCTAGGGTCCCCCATCAGCCCTGCCGCCTCCGGCATTCAAGGCCTCACGGGTCCAGCTGCCTCGGTCTTAATACGTCTGACTACCCTTTCCTGCGCCGGCCCCATGCTCCAGACACACTAGAGCACTCCAGTGCCCACCCCCCACTTTCCCACCTTTGCCTGAGCAGTGCCCTCAGCCAGGACCACCGTCGCCCTGGCCAGCCCCGTCACAGTCCTGCTCTGAGAAGGCCATGGTCAGTACAGCATGTCAGGTGCCAGTGCGAATCCCGGTTCCACCACTTACTGGCTGGGGGGCCTTGAGCAAGCCATGTGACCTCTCTGAGCCTCAGTTTCCTCATCTGTGAAATGGGAATAACGACAGCAGGTAACTCACAATGTTGTTGTAAGGATTCAAGCGGATGTGGCAAGGAACACACAGGGCTTGACAACGCTGTCAGTGCCAACAGCTGTTAGTCTGGTGGTCGTTACTCATTGCTCAAGGCCCGCCTCTCCGGTGTGCCTGGGAAACACTCCTCCCCTGACCCCGACCCAGGAAAGCCTGCAGGAGTGTGCTAAGCGTCGCCCACTCGCTCAATCCTCCTGGCAACACATGCTTATTCCCCATTTCACAGATAAGGAGGCTGAGGTTCAGAGAGGCAAAGTGCCTTGCAGGGCCACCCAGAGCATTTATGGGGAGCCTTGTTTACAGGGAGCAGCCCAGCCCAGGGCTGAGCCTGACAGGGCCTGCCTGGAGGATCCCCCCGGGCTGGAGGGGCAGAGGCCACCGGTGTGTGCCCAGCACCTGGCCCGGCACTGGCAGCGGGAGCAGGCCTGTTGAAGAGCGGCTTGCTCAGGCTGGGGAGGCGGCAGCCCAGGCGCGCTGGCCCAGGAGCCTGGACTCAGCCCCAGGGCTGGACGTGCAGGAGGGCTGAGCCCGAGCTAAGGGCGGGGGCCACACCCTGCCCCCTGTTTGGGGGCTTTCCTTCTTCCAGCCCCGAGAGTCCTCCCGCAGGGCCGGGACGCCCCCACGAGCCCGCGTGGGAGGAAGGCTCCAGCGAGAAGGGGGAGGGGGGGTCCTAATTCAGAGATGATGGGGGCGCCAAGCCCGTGGGTCCACCGGGGAGCTCACCCCTGCGCCCCCCTCGCGCCGACCCGCTCCCCAACTCCCGCACTCGGGGGTCTGGAGCCCTAACCCCAGCGGGGAAGAGAAGAGAGGCAGGACCGCGGCAGGGTCCCCAGCTCTAACCGGGTAGTCAGAGCCAGGAGGCCTGGAGAACCCCGCGACGGCCTCTGGGCGCGAGGACCGGGACCTCGGGGCGCGATCACCCAGGAGGAGTGGGTCTAGGGGAGCCTCCGGGCCCCCGCATCCATCCCCACCCCCAGCGGTCCGCGATGCCCCCTCCCGGGCGCAGGCAGCGCCCCTCCCGCTCCCGCCCCACGCGGCGCCCGCTCACCTCCGCCGGGGAGCGCCCGGCCCCCCGCGGCCCCCTCGCCCCCTCACATGGCGCCGGGAGCCGAGAGCCGGGGTCCGGGTTCCCCAGGCCGCCAGGCCCCGCCGCAGCCCCGGCCCGCCGGGTCCTAGCGCCGCCGCTCGCAAGCGGTCCTGGCCTGGGAGGCGGGCGGAGCCTCGGGGGCCGCGGTGGCTCCGCCCCCGGGCGGTGCCGGCGGGAAAGGGTGAGGGGCGGGCGGCCCGGGTGCCGCGGGCCCGGTGAGTGCGTCAGTTTCCTCACTGGGCAGCCTGTAGTGACCACGAAAATACAACAAACTTTTGGAGCCCTGTAAGTGTGGGTCAGGCCCAATTCTATCTCGTTTTATTGTCACCACGACCCCGGATGGGGAAACTGAGTCCCAGAGCACAACTGCGCTTGGACCCAGTTGAGTTTCTCCCAAGGCTCCCTGCCGAGAGCCTTGCACCCAGTAGTCACCCTGAGTGAACGCGGGGCTCATCCTTGGATCCAAGGCGCGCTCTGCCGTGGACTAGCTGTGCGGCCTTGGCACACCGCTTCCCTCTCCCTGCCTCTGGAAAGGAGGGGCAAGGACAACCTCAGGCTTGCGAGGGTTAAAAATGTTCCTTCTTATAATTACCGGGGTATTCATGATAGTGAAAAATAACCGAAGGAGCCACGTGGGGGCCGGGGAGAGGGCGGGGGGAACGGTTAAGGTTAAATAAAGGAAGGCCCAGCCGGCAGTGCACTGGGAGGATGTTGAAATGAAGGATTCAGGGCAATGGGCCCTAACTGGGAAGGCTGGCCAGGATATTTACAGGACATTTAAGTGAAGAAAGCAAGTTAAAGAATTGCATTTTGAGCTGCGACAGTGCGAACCCCCAGTTCCTGCCACACCACACGTCAGGGACCCTGATCAGATCAGCCCATCTCCCAGAGAAGAGAAAAAAAACAGACACAGCCTCTTCCCAGCCCTCTTGCTATCACCTGGCAACAATAACTATTCTCTTTTTTCTTCGCCTTTTACCCTCAATAAAACCCCAAACCGCTTGTCCTCTGGGCTGGCACTTCTCCTTTCTTTCTCTTGTGCCATGCCCTTCCCTCCCTTGGGAAGTAAAATAAATTTTATTTCTTTAAAACTAAAAACAAAAAAACACCCCAAAAAACTGCATCTTGTATGATCACTTTGGGAAACAAAGTTGTAAACATTTGCACTCCATGCCTGGCTATATACACCCTGGAGAAATTCTTGCAGATGTACACCACAAAGTTCATAGCAGCATTGCTTGAAATAATACAAAACTGGAAACAGCCCAAATATCCATCAACGAGAGAAGGGAATTTTTGTACATGATGAAACATTCACACTACGGAATAATATATAGAAGGGGAAAATGAGCGAGCTACAGTTACATGGATGAATCTTAGAGACAGGAGTGAAAAAGTCAAGTCTGGGAAGACGAATCAAACTACACGAGGTATCGTTTAAGCATTCAGGGGGCAGTGGCCCACCTCTCACAGCCAAGGACACGGGATAGCTTTTGCCTCTCACACTGATTGAAGTTTTAAAAGCAAAAGTCAAGAGCACAGGGATGTCTCCAGGGGAGGAAAGGAGGTGTGTAAGTAATGGTCTGGTCTTTAAGCCGGGACTGAGTTCAAGAGATTCGTGCTATCACTATGCTTCATAACCCACAAAGATGATACACAGTCGTTTGTGTGTATCACAATATTTTAAAAGAAAGGTGCAAAAAAAGAGGAAAGATAAAACAAAGAAAAATAAGGAAATACCTTTTTGCCTATCACAGTGATTAAAGTGTTAATAGTGATTATTTCTGGAATGATGGAATTTAGGGCTTTCTTTTTCTTTTCGCTTAGCTACATTTTCTAAAAATTTTAAGATCACAGTCACACGATGTTTATATATTTAAAAACAT